CAAATTTGAATACTTCTCTTGTTGTAGGAGATATAAAGGTTTGATATACTCCTTGGTCTAAAAATCCAAGCAAACCAGAAAAAAAGTTATTAAAATTCAATAGACCTATGGGCTTGTTATGAAGTTTCAATTCTACCCAAGAAGCAAGAATGAACATCGTCATTAGCATTCCATAACCGCCTGGAAGAATGATAAATGCATCGCTCTTGTTCGCCATATCCATCATACAATCATGAATAGAGTGAGTTAGCATCATGCATATGGAATCCTTGACGACCCTTGTTGAAGCTCTATGAAAAGGTATGATACTTTTCACTTCTATCTCAAAACATTTTCCGGCCAATAAAAGATTATCAAAGAAAGTGATGCTAGTCCCTCCATAGAGTAAAGTGATTTTTTGATTTCCCATATCCCTTACTAACTGACTCACAATATCAACATTTTGAGAAAAACTTACCAGTCTAGAACCACCAAGAACACATATGGTTTTGATCGGCTGAAGAAATTTATTACCTTGCGAAGGCTCTGAAACATCCATCTATTTGTTGATAAACTTAATTTTTCAAAAGTTTATAAGGCATACGATTATGATGAATGACTCGCTATTTAAATAGAAAGTCTTACAAAGCGATAAATAATTTTACTGTTTTCTTCTGACAATTGCAACCGACAAATAAGGCGTGAGATTTTAAATAAATCTTATCTGTCGGCAGCTATAAGATTCTCTGAAAATTACAGTGCAACTACTAAACTTCATTAGTATGATTTTCATACTAACAAAGACTAGTTTTACAAACTTGATCTTTTGAAACAATATTTTCGAGACTATAACGTTCCTCTTCATTTTTGAAACGAATCCATAGAGACAGAAGCTCACGATGCACATACCCACTAGGATGTGTCTCAAGAATCTGGTGGATCGTTTGATCCATAGACTCCTTACTCAATCCATCCTTTATAAATGCTATTTTATCTTCTCGATTTTTGGACACGAACCCCACAAATTTACATCGTGTGTCACAAGTCCATCGAGCGCATTTGAAGCACCCACCTAATCGTTTAGCTCTTCGTTTCTTTGCAAAAGTACTCTTACCCATACCTGGCATATATTTGTATGAATTTGGAAACTCTCCCGACAATCGAACTTTTGCTTCAATCAACCATCGAATATCACCTGGAATATCATTAATCATCAGCACCCTCAATCTTTCTATTCGGGACCGATAAATTCTTTTTATGATATTTACTGGAACAAAAGAATAATATTTACGGATATTTGAGAGTGCCAAATCCATATGTAAATTCGGATCTTTGTTCGTAAAGATTAAATTGATTGCATGATAATTTATTGAAATGATGCGTATGCTATACGACTCTAAAAACAAAGAGTATGTCTGACAGAAAGATTGATACGCATGTGATACGGTTCTGAATTTAAATATTGTGGATCAGAATCTGCACTTGAAGTGCATTTATTGCCGCCGAAAGATGATGTGATATGTTTAATGGGTCACAATGAATTATTGTGATGTTTACTGATATAAATGATGATGGTTTGCATGATTAACTGATTATGAGATGTTTTGTTCTCGATTGGTTAAATTATTACTAGCTAAATATTTGTGAATCGATATTTGATCAAACTGAGTATGAAAGGGGTACGATATATATATGGGCCCACTACCCCTCCATGTGTGCTACTAGATATTATAGATCCACTAGATAGCCACATGTGTGATTCGTAACCTGAAGTTACGATATGATTTGATCAAAGAATGTGTATATGACACGTAACCTGAAGTTACGAGATGGTTTGATCAAAGAATGACACAAGATGATTATGAAAGAAAGTGTCATATGAAAGTGATGAAGATAGTAATATAATCAGCTCATATGGTGAACTCATGAAAGAAAAATGTGCACATTACAAGTGATATGAGTTCAAAGTCCTCCTATTATATGTTGAAATCGAGAACGAAATGGAGATTATATGAACTCCCCTCAAGAAACTCAAAACTGAAAATACAAATTAGATCTGTTAAGATGAGGGGGAGAATCAATTATTGAAATTTTGAAAATGATTTATGCATCACACTGAAAGTGTGCAAATCATAAACTGAATGATACTGATGGTGGTTAAATATATGAAATGATATGATGGTGGAAAGATACGCTGGAAGCGTTGGTATTGTGCAAATTGAAATTCCCCAAATAAGTGATGAAAGGAGGCATATATATACTATCGATGAAATTAATTGATAATGAGATATCTCAATATATTACGGGGAATAATGGAAATAAATATGTGTCGACACAAACAGATAAATAGCACTATATAAATGATATTGATGAGAATGGCTGAAATGAGAATATTGAAAACTATTGGCAGTAAGACCATTGAAATCGGTTGATGATGAAAATGAGTTTAAGAATGAAAGTTGCACAAAAGCATAATATAACATATTATCATGAATACCACCAGTATCGGAAAAATTGAATGAATCTATATGATACTCATGAAAAAGTTATTATGGTGAATATATGAAATACGCGTTGTACTCTTTTTCCCTTGGCTAAAGTTTTGTCCCATTGGGTTTTCCTAGCAAGATTTTTTAATGAGGCAACATGGATGGCGTATTCACATGAATAGTGTACTCTTTTTCCTTCATTAGGATTTTGTCCCACTGGGTTTTTCCTAATAAGGTTTTAACGAGGCACATTCATGATATAATGAGGACTACTGGATAATTGATATGATTCCTCATTATGATGAGAAAACACTGGAGTAGCTGTACTCTTTTTCCTTCGATCAAGTTTTTTCCCATTGGGTTTTCTTGACAAGGTTTTAACGAGGCAGCACGTGAATACTCCATTAAAGATGATCTATTTGAGGGGGAGCAATGTTGTGCTTCCACAATGCTCAGGTTTTGTCCCACCGGGTTTTCCTGAGGATAGATGTTGTGATTCCATAATGATCAGGTTTTGTCCCACTGGGTTTTCCTGAGGAAGCAATGTTATAATTTCAAGATGATCAGGTTTTGTCCCACCGGGTTTTCCTGATATACTGAAGCACCAGTAGCGATGGCTACAAGATACACTTCAAGATATTCAGATTGGGCGTTATTCAAATCAGTTAAAATATGTTTAGAAATAGTCATTCAAGGGGGAGTGTTATGAATTATTTGTTATAAAATAATATATGTGAATGACTATTTTGCCCCCGATGTAATTGTATTATTACGGTTGTGCCATCAGAAGTTTCCTATAAATAGGAGCTTCAGTTATAATGAAAATTGTATCTAAGAGAAATATTTTCTCTATTATCTCTCTTTCTCTCTAGTTTTATAACAATCCTTAAATTAGTACAATTTTTGTTCATGACTAGCTTTTAAGGAGTTCAATCAAATTAAAGGTAGATTATATAACATGAGGTGGCCACACTATTCTTTCTAAACCTTCACACAGAGGTTGCCACCGGGCAAAGTGGGCCCCGTTGACCAGTCGATTGGGTCTATTAATAGTGTTGTTAAATTAAACGAGTCTGGCTCGCCTCTGCTCAAGCTCAAGGCCTTTACGAGTCGAATTCGAGCTCATTTGAAGCTTGTTTGGTTGAGGAGTTGAGCTCGTTTTGGCTCGATAAGACTCGTTGAGGCTCAAAATTAAAGAAATTTTTTTATATAATTTATATAGTTCGGCTTGTTGTCCTTCTGGACTCCCTTGCAAGGCGGATAAAGTGGGCACACTAGTTTTCAATTTTAAGGCTTAAAGCTCGTTAATAGTGATAAACGAGCCGAGCTCGAGCTTGAATCTTGACTCGTTTATTTAACAATCTGAGTTTTACTGGCCCGACCTGGCATTGACGGGCAAGAGTAAATATTTTTATTTTGTTTTAGAAAAACGCTTGGACTCGACCGATTGGCCCGGAACATACGAGTTTGGATCGAAATTGAAGCCGACTGACTATCGAGTCGGAACATCCATATCGATTTCTTACTTTTCTATTATCCGTTCGGCCCGTTGGATGAGCCCGCACCCACAACCTGCGACCCGTTGGCCTGCCTTTCTTCACAACCATATATATAAAAATTGAGATAAGAAAAATGTTGCTTTTGTAATAAATAGTTTCCCTTGAATATTTCAGTGAAGCAACATTTGTACACGGGACTTGCAGAGACTCTTTCATGTGCTGGCACTTGTTTGTTATATATCATTTTCAATTCTAACACCACTTGACCATTTCATAAGCTCTTTTAAACAATTGAGTTCATACTCCAATTAATTTTTATTTACCCAGAAATCCGTGTCGTAAACAACAAGCTTGTCAACATAAAAAAAATTAAGGAAATGCTAAAGTTCCGTTATGTACCATCTGGTCGGGTGTATTAACAGTTTGTTATGGACCCAACGGTTAAAACACTCAATGAGATGATACCGTAACGAGACCTTAACACTTGCTAAAAAATTATTAATAGCTATTAAATGCTTCATTTATAAAAAAAGTAGAGTATTTATCCAAAACTGAATTTAATTTCAAATGAAAACCGAAACCCAATTATTTTGAAAAGCAAAATCGAACAGAAAAATTAAAATTGGGTCGAATTTTTCAACCCTTATTACGCAGTCAACATTTGCGAGCACAAATTATTCAAATTATATCCAAAATTATGTGAAATATATATATATATATATATAAAAATTAGAACAAACTGTTTTAAAAAAATCTATTGGCTGCTAAGCACAGACATGCGTTACTTAAACGGTAAAACCACAGCGAAGAATTTATTCACAAGGTAAAAAATCGAAAATGAAAGGTCAAAAAGGTAAATTCGATTAAAATTCTAGATTCTTTCTTTCTTCAACCTTTCAATCGCTAACCTCTGCACACACACTTCACACACACACACACACACACAAGAAAATCCAAACCCTTTCGACCATAGATAGCTCTGCAAAATTCCGTTCGCCCCCCTCCAAATTCCTCGATTCGCTCCCCGCCAACCATGGCGGCGAAGCCGACTTCCTCCGCCGTCTCCCCCTCCGCCGCCGCCACCCAGAAGCTCCAGGCCCAGAAGAATCGTCAGATCGAGCACCAGGAGAAGCGAATAGACGAGGTCCTATCCTACCCGATCATCCTCGCCGACCAGATCTCCCACGCCGTCCTCGACTCCGACTCCTTCAAGCTCGAGTGCTCCGAGGTCGGCAAGCAAGTCGACCGCCTCTCCCAGATGCTCCGCTCCGCCGCCCGACTCGCCGCCCCCGGCCCCTCCGCTCCCCCCTTCTACGACCGCCCCCTCCGCCGCATCCTCGCCGATGTCTCCAGCAATCTCGAGAAAACCCTAACCTTGGTCAAGAAGTGCCGCCGCCGCAGCGCCCTCCGCCGCGTCGTCACCATCGTCACCGCTGCCGACTTCCGCAAGCTCCTCCTCCTCCTCGAGTCCTCCGCCGCCGACATGCGCTGGGTCCTCAGCATCTACGAGTCCGGCGGCGGAGCTGCCGGCGGCATCGTCCTCAGCCTTCCTCCCATCGCCAGCAACGACCCCATCATCTCCTGGGTCTGGTCCTTCATCGCCTCCCTCCACTCCGGCCAGCTTGCCGACAAAATCGAAGCCGCCAACGAGCTCGCCTCCCTCGCCAGAGACAACGACCGCAACAAACAGATCATTGTCGAGGAAGGTGGGATTTTACCACTTTTAAAACTCCTCAAAGACAGTTCCTCCATTGATGCCCAAATTGCAGCTGCTTCAGCCCTCTTCAACCTCGCCAACGATGAAGAACGCGTCCGATGGATTATCGACGAATTAGGCATCCCAATTATCGTCCATGTCTTGGGAGACTCCCCAATGAAGGTCCAAATTAGGGTTGCAAATTTAGTCGCTAAAATGGCCGAGCACTGTCCACTCGCAAAAGAGGATTTTGCTCGGGAAAACGTGATTCGACCTCTCGTCACGCATTTATCATTCGGTTTATTCATGGATGACCCCAAACTCAAACTGGGCAAACACAGCATTCACTCGATCGTCCAAATCAACAAAGAAATGGAGAAAAAGCACGTGTACAATCCCGGGTTCGCTTCTTCTTCTTTGTCCATGCATTATCCAGAAGGGAGCAATAACAAAGGAAGTAGCTATAGAAAGGACCGGGAGAATGAAAAGCCCGATGTCAAACTCAAGCTCAAAGTAAGTTGTGCCGAGGCCCTATGGATGCTCGCCAAGGGCAGCGTGCAGAATAGCCGGAGAATAACCGAGACAAAGGGTTTGCTCTGTCTGGCTAAGTTAGTCGAAACTGAAGAAGGTGAATTGCAGTACAATTGCTTGATGACGATTATGGAAATAACAGCAGCTGCCGAATCTAATGCTGACCTCCGACGAGCGGCTTTCAAGACGAACTCTCCGGCAGCCAAGGCCGTGGTTGACCAGCTGCTTAGGGTTATTAAACAGTCGGATGATGTCAGAATGCAGTCAGCAGCTATTCGTGCCGTTGGATGCCTGGCCCGAACGTTCCCAGCCCATGAGACAAGGGTTATTGGGCCTTTGGTCGAGCTGTTGGGCCACAGGAGCCAAGATGTGGCAGCTGAGGCTGCGGGTTCGCTCGGCAAATTCGCCTGCCCCGACAATTTCCTCTGCGTGGAGCATTGCAAGACGATTATCGAGTTTGGTGGGGTCCCACCATTGATGAGGCTGTTGAGGGGGAACGAGAAGGCCCAGCTTAACGGGCTGGTGCTCACCTGCTATCTAGCAATCCATGCCGGGAAGAGTGAGCATTTGGAGCGGGCTGGCGTTTTGGGGGCTTTCGAAGGGGTCGATCGAGCTTTCATAGCCCAACACCCGGAGCTGAGGGATTTGATTTCGCAGGCCGTGATTCAGTTGAGCGTGTTTCATCAGTCGCATTCGGGCCTCCTGGGCCAGAGGCATTCGGGCCTGCTTGTGGCTCAGAGGCAGTTTTGAACAGGTGTGTTTGGTAATGGAGATTTGGATGTGTTTCTTTGTACAAAAGGTTGAAAGGTTTTTTTGGATAGGAAGATGCATTTTTTGTGGGTTCATTCTTGTCTGAAAAAATTGGGTGAAGCAAAATCAAACATAATTGTGTCTACATTTGCCATTTGCTTGGTGTATTTTGGTGGGAGTTAATTGGACTGAATTGTTATTATTTGAAATCTGTTTCTGTACAGTGATTTAACTTTTAGACCTCTAATATTGAAAGATTGAGTGTTGTTGTCTATTTGTAGCTGAAAGCATAAAAGTTTGTCACTTTCACTTCATCTTTCAGTTTCTTGAAGAGAAAAATATTTGCACTTTTGCAGTCCAATATCACTGTACTTTGCATTACACACATTCTGCAAGTCAATAACAAATATGCAGCAATCATTCTCAGCAACCCATATGAATCCACCTGAAAAAGAAAATGTGTGTATATGTATATATTATATATCTGAGAAAATACTACGGTCCCGTTACGGAACCATTCTGTCGGGGTGTGTAACCGTTGGATCATCACGTCGGGGATAGTTGATCTAATGGTTACAAGCCCCGACGGAATGGTTCCAGATAACATAGCATCTCCCATATATCTATATCTTCACACCAAAGAAAGGTCAAAACTTGATACACAAATCAGCAAGAGGTAGAATAATAATTAATAAATCACTGTATTTTATAACCTTTTTCACATGTCAAACCACATACATTTTGGATATCAATCAAATGAACAGACTTTGGATAGAGCATTTTAATAACAGGTTAAATGATAGTGAGGATGAAATTGCAACAGCTACCCTTGAGAGGTTTTAGTCCAATTACCAATAAGAAAGAAACAGAGAAAATGAAATGAAATCCATTTGAGTTACACAAAAACAATCTCCTCAAAGCATTGCACAATAACATTGCATGAATGAACATATCCTCCTCCTTCATGAGCTGATAATGAGCGTGTCGACACAAAAAAATCCGAGACAAGGAAAAACCAGAGTCATCAGGTGTGCCAAGTGCTGTTAATTAAATGAGTCTGGCTCGGCTCGAGTTCTAGGCCTTAACGAGCCGAGCTCGGCTCGGCTCAATAAGGCTCGAAATGAAAATCTTTATATAATTTTTATTGTTCGGCTCGTTAAAGCCCGAGACCGGCTCGAGCTCGAAGCCTTAAACAGCCGAGCTCGAGCTCGAGCTCGATTTTTGGGTCGTTTATTTAACGAACCGAGCTCGAGCTTGAGCACCTTAAGCTCGAGCTCGGCTCGACTAATTTGCAGCCCCCGTGTGCCGTCAAAATATCAAAATTTTCTCCAAAAATTCGTTAGTTAATGATCTACAAATGCGATTGCCATTTAATTTGTAGCCCTTCTCGATTTTTTTTTTTTTTTTTTTTTT